GAAAGAGTCGAGAGAAGGAATGTCCCATCTGCCCCACGCTGAGACGTAAGAAGAGCACAAGACCTGTCTGCTATGGCAGAGAGCATTTTTCATGTAGTACCTGATCAGGTCATAGCAGGGAGAGGTAACATGAAAAATCACACTTATCTTTTTGTTACTTACTGATCATTGACTGTTGTTGTTACCTACCGATTGTCCACTGTGGGTTCAATGCCATGTAAAGAACTACTAAAGACACAGCCCCTGCTGCATGGTGCTTGCTTAAAAACAGGACACCGGGAAGCACGCAGTGAGCAGGACGAGTGTCCAGGTGTGAAGAAGTGTACTTTGGCCCTACGCCCACAGCCTGGATAGCCAGCTGCAGGAGAAGACTCTGCAGATGGCAGTTGTGTAGCATCTCCTCTGTGCTGGGCACAAACAGTGACCACTCGAAGGCCTCATTTCTGTGGCACTGCTGTTCCAGCTTCTTGGTTGTCAGATTCTTGCAATATTTTCTAGCGGAGAAGCAGACAGCCTGTCTGTGGATTTGAGCCTACAGACCAGAGGTCTATTTTCTTAGTTTTATGAAGGCCTGAGAAGTGACCCCATGGAGCTTTTCCTTCTCTCAGTCACCCACAGATCAGAGACTGTAAACCTCTGCTCTAGTTGAGGGTGGTGGGTAGGTTTGATACATCAGAAAGCTGGTGATAAAGGTATGGTGTAATGTGGTGTAAACTAGGTAGACCGAATTCTAAAGCTAAGCGTAACACGTTTTGAACGAGATATAAAAAGCTTGGATATTAAAAGTTACTGTTCGTGCTTTAGGTAGGAAGCAGGTTTTCAGGCTTTTTGTGAAGATGCTGTGCAGAACGTTAGGACCAACAGGTTTAGGATCAAGATAGGGCTGGTAAGCATGCTTGTTTGATTATGGAGATGTATTCCTGTGCTCTCTAAGACACTGGAGTCTAAATATGGTGCGAGTGCAAAATTTATGTTCAGTAGGGAAACCTGCTTTTTGGTACCTGGTTGGTCAGGTCTAGAATTCTCCAGTTGTTTTGTAGGAAAAGATCAGTGAAAGCTGGACACTGGAAAGTGCCCCAGATTCATCCAAGGGGTCTACATCATGCAGGGGCTCAAGCAGCCGTGAGTTCAGGTGTTCATGGGCCCATAGCTTTATGGCAAAGAGGGTACCTGGCAAAGAAGGTCTAGTGGAACAGGTGTCTGAGGAAACTTGTGCAATGCTCTGGATGGAATCAAAGACTGAAGCAAAGGATAGAGAGTCTTGCATCCAGTGGCTGTCCCTGGTGGTATCTGGGCTATAGGAAGTGGAACAGGGTCACATCACCTATACGGCCCCCTCCTGCTATAGGTGAAAGGGAAGGAGGAGGACAAACCACTCCACATTGTGGTGAAACACTCTCAATGCTTGACCTGCGAGGGAGGATGCAAAGCCACTGGCTGTGAGGGGAGGCTGGAAGGACTCTCCTTTCCAAGAAACACTGTGTCTGCTACACCTGCATAACAGAGGATGGACTGGGATCTCTCAGGGGCGGGGGTCGCTTTGGCTGAAATAGTTCCCCTTGAGATGCCCTGCGGTGCCAGTTGTACCCAATGTCACTGCGACCACAAAATGGCACAGCAACCAGTGATCCAACGTGGCAGCTCAGCTTCCCAGTGCTGTGGCATCAAACAAGCTGTGTTGCAAGGGACGAAGGAAGGCCACCTTGTCTGGCCCTGCTGCCTTCCTCCATCTCAGCCTCCTCTTGACTGCACGTGCAAAAAGCATCCCAGCACTGCCCTGGGTGTGAGAGACAGCAGCAGCAGGCTTCTGCAGTCCTTGCTTTTAAAGAGAAGGCAGAGTGCCGTGTTAACTGCCTTTTGTGGTATTTCTCATAAAGCCACGGATACACCTTCTGCGTGGGCTGGGATGATGCTGACCTCGAGTACCAGCTGATGCATCCCAGACAAGGTTTTTCAGCAAAGTGCCCCGCAGCCACCCGTGGCGCTGAGGGTCCCAGAGACAACCAGGCAGTGAGGAAACCGCAGAAACAAGATGTTTGTGTCGAGGAATGAAGAACAGAAACTCAGAAGCGAGGACAATTCCCAGGCTTCCCTGGTGGCTACAAAGGCTGGTCCTGTTCTGAGTGTGACTCCAGAAAGCCCAGGAGGTAACATCTCTCAGCAAGCTCTTCCAGCGTCGGTGCTGTCATCCTTTCAGTTTGTGTCAGAACTCATGGCAAAACTTCAAAGTAGCCAACACCCTGTAAAAACCAAACTCCCCTCTCTCTTCCATCCACCTGGGGAATTGCTTTGAGCGGGCATATTCAGAGATGCCATCGCTGCGGTGGTGACAGGAACTGTTTTCGTGCCGGCTGGTGCAGGAGAAGTGTTTTGCCCATTAAGTTGGTGTCAGATAATATCCTTCTCGGGAAACATCCTAGAGCATGGAGTGGAGCAAAAGTATTGTCTGAGGCATATGAGTCTATCACGGTTATTTTTGTTGCTGCTTTTACAGTTTCTTTCTCTTGAAGGAAAGCAGACTAGTTATTTAAAGTAATTTTTTTTTTTTTTTAAACAAGAAATTGGCACCAGCTGCTTCTTTTATGCCAAATGTCAGTCTGAAGTGAATTAAAATAGGCAGCTTGTAGCTCTTCCCCTTAAACCAGGGCTGATTAAGGAAATAATGACTGAGCCAAAGCTTCGGAAAGCACTGAGTGATGACTAATCCCCATCAAGGACAAATATCCTATCTTTGATTCATCTCTTAGTGATGTGAAAAGGATATTCATAACTTACAAACCCCATTTCCCCTTTCCACAAGCACACACCTCCAAAATTTTCATCCTGCTTCAAGTAATGTCGGAGTGTGTCATCACATGAAGAGAAGGGGAAAAAAAAAATATTTTGTTTTGCTCAGCTCTTTTTATGCCGTGTCTTTGCTGGCACGTATCCAGTCAGCTCCCAAGTCCTTTGACAACAAAAGGGAAGAAGAGTTTACAAATTGCCTTTCCCTTTTCTATAAGCTTCAGGTGGTGGTAACTCCAGAAGCAGATGCAGAACCCCAAATCTGCTTTGAGTTTCTTTCTCCTGCTTTGGCCCATCAGCCAGGTTTGGGATGATTTCCATCACTTCTACTGGACTTGTTAATGTACCAGTGGGTCCATGCCCTCCACGCTGGGAAGGTGTGAAGGGCAAAGTCCCACCAGTCTAAGCAGGGGAGGGAAATGGGTGCGTGTGTCTGCGGGTGTGGGTGGGTGAGAGTGCATGTGACTTCATGTGTATGGTATTTAGTGTCTCCTACTAGAGAAGCTTTTCTGAGACATAGATGTGCATGTTAAAATAGGAGAATTAGGCATAAATGACATAAAATGAGATTTTTAGCCAGTGTTGTGTTTGCCTCGTGTGTAAGTTTGACTAGTAATAAGAGATGTAAAACTCTGCTAGGCTTCCAGTTACCCATAAAGCACATGTATCAAACTGAACTGAATGTTCACTGATAGACACAAACCCAAAATGTTTACAGCATTCAGAGCAATAGCAAAGCATACCTCATGCCAGTCCTGGAGTGCCTCTCACCCATCAGTGCAAGCTCTCCCCTCCCAGGGGCCTCTTGCTTCTCCCTCCAAACCCCTCTCTCCTTCTCAGTCCTCTCCTGGTAGTCTTCCCTCCTCCTCCTCCTCCTCCTTACGGTTTCCTCCCTGAAGCACTCCTGTCCATGCCAACCTTCCTCTCCACCAGCACTCTTTGTCCCCATATATCTGAGCCTGGGTCTCACATAACCTCCTCCCCTGCCCTCCTGTTTGCATCCCCTCCATCCCCATCTATCCCCTCCTGTTTGCATCCCCTCCATCCCCATCTATCCCCTCCTCTCTTCTTTGCCTTTTACTTCCCCAAACACTTGTCTCTGGTCTTGCCACCCCTCTCCTACATACCTCCTACTGTCACTATAAAGCTCCTAGTTGCTATTTCTTGCCCATTATATAAGAAGAAATCGCTTCACACAATTTCTGCATTATCTTTCATTCCTGGGGCTGCTGCAGTTGTCGTCTTCCTTGGTACTGTGTTTTCTCCGGCATCGAAGCATTATATCACAGAACTGGAATTAAAGTACATTTTGCTGCTAGACCAGAATGCTTTTCTCTACCACGCACCCCTCGAGCTTTGCAGAGGCTCGTCTTGTCCCCAGTATCGTGTCTTCTTCTTCTCATCCACGCTCCACCTGCTGTGGTTGTGGCAGGGGCTGGCTAACTGAGGGCAGCCG